TACCCCTGAGCTCGGGCAAGACGCGAGTAGCAGTTAGGCAAGCTCGTCAGCTCGGCGTTGGTGCTGCTTGCTTCAGTATTACTGAGATCGATGGGCTCGAACTACTAATGATAGCTGTGAACCGAAGGGCCCTACCTGTAATCTGCGGCTAAGACCTCAAACTGGTTTTCTGCGAGCGGGAGCTCGAACTGAGAGTGCTGAGGTGATGCGGGCCTGACCAGCTGGGAGGCCCCTAACCTGCTTGTAGGCTGCGAGGCAGGGGTGACTGGTCTCTCCTTCCTGCTGTGGGACGAGGCTTGGCTTTTGGAAGGATTTTGGGTTTGAGAGGCCTCTCCCCAACGAGGACATTTGCTCTGGCGGGAGGGCTTGGCTTGCTTCGAGGCCAAATGCCGAGGGGGAAGTGGCTGCTGGGCCTGAGGCAATGAAGGGAACTGCTGTTGGTTCTGGTACTGAGAAACTTGATGCAGCATTTGCTGCTGGTAGAGTTGAAACTGTTGGAACTGTTGCATTTGATCTTGCACGGCTCGCATGTACTGCACCAAGTCTTCGAGCTGGTCTTGGTTGCTCACTGGGGGAACAACGGAAGGTTCAGTGAAGGTTGCTTCAACCGCGGAAGGGAGTGGAGCGTTCACAGGTGCCAATGTGTGAGGCACGTTCAAGTTGGGAACTCCGTCCACAGAGAGGGGGACAGTGAACTATCCAATGCAGATAGTTGGGAGCTGGGGTTGCTCCCCTGAAGCGTTCTGGTCGCCACCACATCCGGCATTACTAAAGGAAGCCATGAATGCTGAGTTCCTAGAGAGAGTTGTAGAGATTAGAGGAAGGCTTTTTGAAGTGTTTCTCACAGGCGGTGCCAAATGATGCAGCGCAATCCGAGCAGTCCTAGTTGGCAGTCGACTGGCTCCTAACTGGCGACGGACGGTACCTGAGAAGAAGACGGTGAAGGATTCCCGGGGGACTTGCCCGGTGGGAATACTCTAATGCTTAAGTTAGAACACTTGAGAGAGTGGTAAGGAATGCAAAGAGAGCTAAGAGTGCAGGTAGCGCTAGATCAATGAAAGTTCGAGATTAAATCAAGATACAAGATGCAAGATACCTTTTCTCCTTAAACCATGGGGCTCTTAAATATGGGCGTTCTTGTCAAATCGAGGCTATTAATTTAATATTAATTAATAATAAATAAAATTGTTAAATCTTTTAGATTTTCTCGTACATCGCACGGGTCCCTACTAGTGTCTGTGTGTGTGTGTATATATATATATATATATATATATATATATATATATATATAGGGAAATTGTCAAAAACTCACCATGAGTTTTCAGCTTTTCTCTTAAACTCATCACAACTTTTCAAAATGTCTGAAACTCACCATGTCACTAACTTGACGTTAAAGAGACTAATGGCTATTAATATATTACCATTTTAACCTTCATAGAAAAATATAAAATATATACATATATTTTAATATTTAGATAGGAAAAAAGGAAAAAGTTCAAAAAATATTTTCAAATACAAAATACATAAAAACACAAAAATTGCAAAAATTATAAAAAAAATTATAGAAATTGCACACAAAATAAAAATATATTTTCAAATTATAGAAACTATAGAAATTGAAAAACAAAATCAGAAAATAAAAATGTAGAAAAAACACCAAAAATTATTGAAAAAACAAAAATTGCAAATAAATTAAATAACAAAAAATACAAGAAATTTTATAGATTGTAGAAAATAGAAAAATGTAAAAAAAAAACAAAAATTATAAAAAACATTAGAAATTATAACAAAACACTATAATGTAAAAAAAGAAAATTAAAAAAATGAAAAAAGACTCTTTTCCTCTAACTCGCCATTCAAGGGTGATTTAGTCATAAACAATGTTATTTATGCTGACGTGGACACTTCTATTAAGAAACATTAACGATGCACTAACGGAAGATGAGTTTTGGAAAATAAAAACTTATTGACATGGTTAGTTTTAGACGTTTTGAGAAGTTGGAAAATAAAAACTATAATAAAAACTTATTATAGTTGATGTCACCATGCCTCTCCTTGTTCCAAACCTCTCTCCTAATTTCCTGTTTTTTTTTATTTTTTATTTTTTTAATTCCACATAATTACCCATTAAGCCAATAACGAAATCACAAAGGCTTAACTATTTCTAACAACCATAAAAATAGAGGGATTTGTTTTTCTAATGTTTAGCCAAGTGGCACCACTTTCCCCCACTTTCTCATAAATTGACTCTAATTCCTATTTATCTCCTAAATTATCTCCAACTCCTATTTATCTCTTAAATTATCTCTAATTTAGTATTCTCTCCTAAACTATCTCTAATTCCAATTTATCCTCTCTCCCACTTTTTGTTTATATCTATATAAAGAAAGTTTCAATTAAAAAAATTCAGAATTATTTAAATATTATAACAACATTATATACTAAATTTAAATTATTTATTCAAAAAACAAAGATTAATTATAACAGATTTAAATATTATAACAACATTATATACAAAATTCATCATGAAATTATGTAGTAACAATATAAATTATAATTTTATGAATTATTTAACGCAAATGTTATTCAAATAATAAAAATTAAAAATTAAAAAATAAAACATTATTTTCAATAACTAAATATCTGAAATAACAAAACATTAAAAATAACTAAATAATTATATAAAGATATTTAATATTACATAATAATATTAAAATAAATAAAATTCAAATAATGAAAATTTTAAATATTATTTAAATGTTTAAATAATAAAATATTTAACATGACTAAATTTTAAATAGTTAAAAAATAACAAAAGTATGTAATAAATTTAAGAATTTTCTTAAAAGTAGAAAATAATTATAATAGATCTCATAATATTAATATTAAGTAATCTAATATTTTACAACATTAATAACAAATTATGTAATAATAGTACTAATTATAATTTTATGGATTATAAAGTTCAATAAATAATTATTATTTTAAAAAATTAAATAATATTATTATTTAAATAACTAAATAATATTATAAATAACTAATTTCACTTATATCAATTAATAAATATAGAAAATAACTTTAAAAAATTAATACATATTAGTAATAATTTTACAATAGTAGTGTATATTCATTATATATTTATATATACTAAAATAATTATTTATTGTATTTTTGATAAAAAATGTTTACAATAACTATTTATAAATCTATTTTTTGTTTTGTTATTTAACAGAAAATTGTCAAGAATTATTGGAGATTAAACAACTAATATTTAAATTTTGAAATTTAATTTATCATATTTGTTGTAGTTTTTGTTATAAATATTTTTAGTAGTTATATATTTTTTGTAATTTATAGATTAATATTTATTAGAGATTAAGCTATTATTTGAGATTACACTATTTATTGACTAATTTAATATATATTTAGTATTTACTGTATTTTTGTAATTATTGTATTTTTATTAGATATCTATTATAATTCTTATTATAAATTTATTTTCAATGATTTTGTATTTTTGCTATAAATTTTCAATATTATTAGAGATTAAACTATTGTTATTTATTAGAGATTAAACTATTAATTTGTTTTGCTAACCAAATTGACCTAGTCAAGTTGGGAGTTTACCCCTCGAATTTGGTTGATTTTACCAAATTGACCTGTTCAAGGATTAGTGAAAACCCGACAACTCGGGTTGTATCAATTTGATTTGTTTGTTCAAAAGTGATGGAGGGTGATTTGGCCCGACCTCGCAGCATGGGTACACGTGGGTGTGACCTTGCTCAAACAGTGACTCAGCGTGACAGCGCAACAGATGCAACCACAACTTGGAGGGAAGATCCCATCGAGTTCAACTCAGCAACTGGGTGGATAAATTACTCACCGGGAGCTGCCTTACCTGCACCTCCTCCCTGGGGTTAAGGCACCTCGGGGTGCCCCGAGTTCGGGGTACCCTGACCTTTCTTGATGCCCGAGCTCCTCCTAATGGACCTCGGGCCACTCCTAGACAGGAACGCACCGATCCATCTCTGGACACCCTGAGGTATAGACACCTCGGGTCAGCCAGCTCAGCATAACTTGCTACAGGCAGCTCGTCACTCAAGGGATAGCCCGACACAAGGTAACCCGCGAAGGGGTAGTACAGCGTACCGCAGGAAGATCTCCTGCCCAACCACCGTACCCGACAAATCTGGGACAGCCGCTATGTCCCTTGCTAGAGAGGGTCGTGCCTGTCACCTTTAGAGGGTATCGTACATCTGACAGGCATGGACCCAACAGTAACAACCCCGCGCGTGCCGCCTCAGCCCTGCCGGTAACAGTTGTGGCAGGCTGACAGTGGCGGTTGTACTTGCCCTATCAGAGGCCAGTAGGCCCAGTGCAACGGAATTCTGTTATACGGAGCCTATTGTTAGAGAACAGGGGTATCTTGAAATCTCTTGCGCTACCTCACTCTTTGTTTTTATCTTCTCTTTGCTTCTTGCTCAGAATACTGACTTAATCGTCGAAGTGTTTCCGCCGGGCGAACCCCCTGGGGATTCTTCTTCTTCTTCCTCATCTCAGGTACCTCTCGGGAATCACGCGAATGCCAAATAGGAGTGACCGGATTGCGCACCATCAAAAAGATTTAAACTTAAAAATTAAATTACAATGATATTATTAAAAATTAATTAAAAAATTTTAATTTATAATATAAAGATATTTTAGACTAACAAACATAGAAATTTTCTCACTTTCATATATTAAAAAAATTAAATTTAAAATATAAAATATTAATATAAATTTATAACGAATCAGTTCAATTTTAGTTGATTTACAAATAATCATGTTAAAACTGACCTAACTTAAAAAAACAATCAAAATAATAAAAAACAAAAATAATATCAATAATAGAAAATCAATTAAATTAAATTAAATTAAATTAAATAAAATATAAAACAATTATATATTTTTATTACTTGATAAAACATGTATGATGTACGAATCCCGTTAGTTCATTATATACCGTTAAAAGCCGTGTTGTCAGAGACTACGTGACTTCTGCTTGATAAAGAGATCCCATCTCTTTTCCGTAGGTAGTAGATTATCTTCCAAGTTCCAACTAGTCATAGAACTGCGTAGATTTTAGTTCTGTTAGTTCTCTCGTAAGTCGAACAAACAGGGACCCACAGTAAGTCAAGTTACAATCCGACGGCCTTGAGATGTCTCAGTCCACAGACAGTAAAACCGCGGCATCTGTAGTTGTTTCGGATGTGGATTGGACGGATAGGATCAAGCCCTTGAGATTGATGGCAGGGCCCCACAGAATGTTCATGAACTTGAATGGAGGTCCCCCACTCCCCACTTCCCCAGCAACACTGATAGCATCATTTTGCTTTATCTTCTGCTTCGATTTTACAGTATTTTACTGAACCGACTCTGATGCTTCACACCAACTCACAGCACGTTGCAGCCGTGCATTAAGAACATCTCCCTCATCAATAATAATTACAAGTACGGAGATATTCTATATGTACGGCTTTAAGTGAGACGCACAGGAACCGATCTGACGTCTTTAACATGACCCGTCCTTCGCTTCCTATTCGCCATTGCCCACTTCGGTACTTTAATGGCGAAGCCTTCCAACCTAAGATAAAGCCAGAAAAAGGAGCCACGCAAGAAGCCATTAAAGCATCTTCTAAGTTTTCTGTTTTCCGTATTTTTATGGCGACTTGTTCGTTGCTGTGACGATCGCGGCAATCGTAAGGAGCTCAGATCTGTCCATTTCGTTCGAGGAGGCTCTTACTGGTCCTCGGTTTCGCTCACGTCACCCCCCACCTGATTCCGTTTATTTAGCATTTCTTTAATCGAGTGCGTCTCTGTTCTTCGGATATGGCGGAACTCGTTTCGTCAGCTTCTCATTTGCGGCTTTCGTTGCCTTATTATCTGGTTCTAGAAACCCTTTAAAGACAAAACCCCACCTTACACCTTTCAATCCGATCCGAAATTAAAAATTAAAAAAAGGAAAAAAAATCCCGCAAAATCAATCCATCAAGCTATTGAACAATCAAGCAAGCTCTGTAAGTCCACTGTTTTTTATACTTCTTAGTCTCTTACTCTGTTCATACTTTCCACTTCTCGCTTCTCATTCGCTGGAATTTTGGATTTGCAGAGAAGGGCTTGAAAATGGCGATTTTGGAAGCATCAACGACTGCAACGGTTGAGAATTTGGAAGAGAATAAGGAGAACTCAGAGCCATTGATTCCTGGGTTACCGAACGAGATCGCCGAGCACTGTCTTTTACATCTCCCCTACCCTTATCAGACGCTGGTTCGTTCTGTGTCTTCGTCTTGGAACAGAGCCATCACGAACCCCAACTTTCTGCTTTCCAAGAAAACCCTCTCGCTCTCTTTGCCTTACATATTCGTCTTCGCCTTTCACAAACCGACGGGCAAGATTCAGTGGCAGGCCCTGGACCCACGATCGGGTCGTTGGTTCGTCTTACCTCCCATGCCCTGCGTCAAACCTGTGTGCCCTCCTGGCTTCGCCTGCGCGTCGCTGTCACGGCAGGGTGCACTTTACGTGCTCGGCGGGATGCGCTCCGACACGGAGACATCGCTGCAAACGCTCATGACCTACAGGCCGTCGACGAACCGGTGGTCGTTAGCATCGCCGATGCTGACGCCACGGTCGTTCTTCGCCGCCGGGAGTATCGGCGGG